TAACATATTTTTTATCTACCCTTACCTTACCTTACTATCAAGTGTCATCAAGTTCTAGTATTTAATAAAATGGTTAAACGTTGGTTTTTAAGGAACAACTTCTGATAGTATGTCAATGTTCAAATTGTATTCTAAATATATCATAGGATTGCTTAAGAGACCACGTTTTTATATATCCTAATTTTGAAAGCAAGAAGAGTATCATTTAGAATTGTAATCGCAATGGGGTAGTTATATTTTTACTTAGACCTAGTAAGTGACCTGTTAGAGCTCACAATTTTTCAAACGACTGTAAACAACAATTATTGAGCGTACGTTTAAAAACAAGACAAGTAAGACGTAAAAGAGACACAATAGGCTTTAAAAGTTATTAAATCATGTCAGAGAGACGTTCGCGTCTGTCGGCGCCATATTGGTCACGTGACTAGACTGTAGAACCGAAGGGATTGCTGGGTAATATGCTTACGTCATAAAAGTGTTCACAATAAGCCTAAGTAGAGTGTAAACAACTTTTAAAATTAAGGGCGGAATAAAATTTTTTCACGATACCGTGAGTGGTGTAAAAATAAATTTTCACGTTAGCTTTAACAAATATTTTTATTTAAAAGAAAATTTCGTGTAAGCCACCTACCACATCCAGCGTAACTTTCAAATCGTTCCAAAATCTTTTTTCATCTCTTAATTTAAAAAATTATACAAAGAAACTACTTTCTTCCGCACATATGAGTATTTCTTCTTTGTGGAAGATAATTTTGCTAGGACTAATTTTAATAGCTTTTTCGGAATTTTTTTTCAGAAAGTGTAAGGGGTTACTTAGTAAATTAAAAAGTAGTCCTTGAAGCTGTCATGTGATATACAGTGTTTCTCAACAAAATTAACGTCTGCTGTTCCAAAGTTGAGATGAGCAAACTTTTGACGTTCGTTAACTGAAACTGACAGTTTCCTACTTGGGCTCTGCTCTCACATATCACGAGAATCATCAATTACAACTTTTTATTAGATAAATTAACAGAAGCGTCAATAAAAGTAAGCTTATAAATTACTTCTGAGGTGTTGCCTTCCGGATCACTTAACAATTAGCCTACTAAATTCGAGGTTAAATACCTTGTTGCCAACGTAATCCTTGGTAGTGTAAATGGCTACTGGTTTCGACGCACTTACCCTAGACGTGGTTGTCGCTCCAAGGAGGTCGTCAGAAAGTCTTCAAAATACATCAAATATACGAATAAATAACGAAAACAAACACAAACAAACATAAAAATGATTGTGTTGCCTTGACGTGCAAAAACTACGTCTAATACAGGGCAGAAGAAATTTTAATGAGTTTTTTCTATGTTGATAGTTTCACAAATTGTATGACAATAGTAATCTATTGCCAACAATAACAGTAGGATAATATTAATAAATGTAATATTTTTATATTATTTTTCATAAAGTATACAATGTATTTGACAGATCCATATAACAAAAAACCTTACGACTACATATTTTATGTTATCTTATTAAAAGATAATCAATAGGAATCACATTTCTGTTGAAGAAATCGGAAGACAAAATTAAAATTTCGTTAATGTTTATTTTTAGGCATTTTGACTTGTAAGATTATTGATTTGATGTAGTTTACATATCTAAGCAGAGATCGGATCAGTGTTATTTATATAGAATAAGGGTTATAAATAATAGCAAAATTTCATAAACAAAAACAATATATTTACAAGTGTGATTTTATTTACATTGTTAAGCTCGTTGGCTTATTAGCATTTTCAGACGCAAGACTGTCTCTCCGAAGTTGTTTTATGGCTCTGAAGAAACTCCTTATAATGTCAAGACAGTCGCTGTGAAACAAACAATACAGAAAATAGAATAAACATTACCATAACATTGCCATTTTTTATGGTGTTTAAAATACAGTGTAAAATTTATGAAACGTGCTTTAAGAGGTTTACAAACTGTTCTAAAAATGTATTATTACTCGATATAAAATTTATATTCCATACATGATTTATTTTTCACCTATTTCAAAATAAATCTTTACTCTTTGTAATTTATTTCAGTTGAGAAAAACATTTTCAAGAAGCAAATGTAAATTTACCTTTTTTCCATCTGTTTTGTGTTCATACACACCATTCTTAAGATCAGTAAGTTGATCATGTGTTAATTGGGGACTAGAGATGCTCCATAATGGCCTGAAACGTAAAGAAAAATTGTAAGATTTTATTGCTTAATAGTTCATAACGCTAAATATATTGTATTGATATTAACTATGCGTAGCTAAAGATTTCTCAATCATGTAATTATGAGAAACATAATAAGAAATCTAGCTATTGAATATTGGCTTTTCTATATAACTACAATCACAATATTTGCTGTCAATTGAAAGTGTCCTCAAAGTAACTTATCTCGTGTAGATCGAAATCAGCCCTTTTAACATTTGGTCACTTTTAGTGAATTCCACTGTAGCTATGTCCGTAGGTGGCACGGCAACACCTAGACCCGGTACCGACATACTTTATAATTTTGATGTCACCAAAGGCCAAAAACACAATTCGTTTAAATTTTTAAATATGCGTGTCGATGAACGCGATAGCTTGAGTGGTCCGATTTTAATTAAATTTGACTTGAAGGTGTAAGTTGAGATAAACTTGAATGAGTTCGCTACCTTCCCGGTAGCAGTAAACCTAAGCACTCATTAAATCTAATGTCATTTAAATGGAAAATAAATAATATATATGTCATGTTTATGGAAATATTTTTTTTATCCAATCGAACAAATTTAAATTATCTTTTTTTGCAGGTTTGCTTCGGCAATAAAATGAAATGGATGAATCGTTTGACATTCTAGAGTTAATTGTAAACTGATTAATCTGTTGAATATTACAATAATATAGAGGAAAGCAGAGTTATGTAGACTATATTTAATTTTTATGACCTTACTTTGATATATACAGAATAACTCACCTTGCCTTCAGTACTACAAAATATTATAGCTATCAGCCAACATATTACACTCAGTAAAATTTATTCATTTAATTTTATATGAATGATTCGATAATTCATATCCTTGTTTCAAAATTAACCTGATATACACGATTTAATATTAATTTGTGACGCAAAGTTAAGTTGGATCACCTCACATTTATAAGACCATTCATTTTTATCATTCGGTTGTTCATCTATATTACATAATAGGTTACTATACCATTAATGTTTACAAAAGTAATAAAAAAAATAATATTTACCTCTGTAACGTAGACCACATTGATGCGTACTGTATACATCTTTCTAACTGGTTTTTACATTATTCGATGTTTAATTTGATAAACAATAAACCATATTATAATATCATATAATAACCGGATCTTCATGACCTGTAACAAACAAAATTGATTATTAATGACTTTGGATATTATGTTACCATTGTAAACACAAATCTGTTAAATTGTCATTCTCCTGTGGTTACACTTAAGTGCGCTGATGCCTCTAACAAGTGTTATTGTATATTTTAAAGTTCGCGGTTTACCTTTAAGTAATAATACAAGATTACAATAATTTCCAATAATGCTGTTCTACTTCGGCATAACCGTTATAAGGCTGATAAAATTACAGTAAACAGTAAACATCAAGTTCACTATCTGTGTTTACTAAATAAAAACATGTCTTAAAATTGACCTTAGCTGATCCAATAGTATAATAAACCTATAAAGATTGAGTATTAAATGTAATTTGACGATCTCATTACGCTTAAGTTCAAACTCAAATCTCCAGTATTTTTTTTTGTTTTTTTTTTGCATATGACAAGAGACGTTGAACAAATAGTTATGGAAGACGATCGCACACAATACAAACAGTTCTGTTGCTTGACCAAGATTAAACGGCCAAGACACAATGTTAAACATTGTTTCCCCTATCTACAATTAACAATGATTTAGACTATGATTTATTTTTTGTGTATTATTTTCTTGAATTTGGAAACCAAAACTTAATTCACCTCAATTTCTCTAAAGAATTCATACTCATATATAACTGTCTCCCAAGTTTTACAGCCCCCATCTTTACAAAATGTAAAAATAATACACTTCTCTACATTAACCCTTTAATACTTCCTCTCTGCATCTTTGCCTATGTTTTCACTTAATTTCACTTATAATCTACATTTATTTATTTGTATCATTACTCACTCCTTGTGTTATGACTTTGTTTATTACTCACCATGAATCAGTATAGGGTGTAACATAAAATTTAATCCCTCTAATCGTTGCCATTCTTTTATATTTAGCTATATATCAAGTTGTTCCATCATTTCTATAACTTCCAAATTTGTCACTTCCTTTGATTCAGAATAATTGTGACTCGCTCCTTAATCTCTTTATTATACATCGAACAATCTTGTTAGTATGACAAGTATTTATCTAACTCCTTAAAACATCCTTTCATACTTCTCTAATTCCTTTAATCTTACGAACAATATTGTATTAGTCATTTGTATTCACATCTCCAATCATTCAATTGGCCAACTCATGACTCGTTCCTAAACATTCTGCCTGAACTACTCATTCTCAAAGAGTATCATTCAACTACTCACTCAAAACAATTTATCTTAAAGTACTTAGTACTTAATACTTTAATACTGTACTTCCACAACCCCCAACAACAAGTCCCAACCCTTCCTCTTGAACTATTTAGTCCCAACTATTCCCTCTGAGCTACTCATTACTATTAATTATATCTCTTTTAATCACTGACTCCACCAGTCCCTTTGAACTCATCCTCAAATGTAAACCACTAACCCTGTCCATTTATTTTAAACTAAACTCACTCAAAACCTTTTTCCCTGAACAACTCGCCCATTTTTTCTTCACTACTAATCTATCATTATTGAACTCCTTATTCCTATACATTAACATTACACAACCACTCTTTACCTACCGTATTTCCTTCCCCTCTTCACCTGCTACTCCCCTGCATCTCTTCTCAACTACTTCCTCTAACCTACTCTACTCATCCCCATTACTCTCCGTTAACTACTACTCACCGCCATATATATAGTCAATACCCGTCCTTGCAGGTCGACCTCTGATCGTAGTTCCTCTGCTCATCTTCATGTCTGAGATAATCTCCGAGGAGATAGCGGTAATCACGTATCATGTCACAGTGGTCATGCACCGCATGATATAGTTTGGTCATTTCCTCTACCTGGGATTCAAGTTCCCCCGCCAACGCCGCAGTAAGGGAGCACTCCCACGCTAGGAACTCCACGACCACCTTAAGGTTCTGGTCGTACTTCACCCTCACCTCTACCTCCTGCAGGAGCTGACGACACTCCTGACTGTACCCCTCAGCCTCCTCCCTATAGCGGCAGAGGTCCTCCTTCTGGGCCAGGAGACGTTGGCTCGAAGCCAAAAGCTGGTCCATGTAGCGATCCAGAGAGTCAATCCAGTCCTCCACTTCTTCATTGAGTAGCCCGTACGTTTCCTGTAAAAGAATTTAGCTTAAAAAATCTGAAGTCAACTATTCATCATTGTAGATTACTTACTGTTCAGTGCAGTGAACTAAAGACTGTAAAAGACTAGTGATGTCTACTTAGCAGACTGACCACTAAGTTCAGTTGACGAAGATAGGAATTTTAACACGGAATAACATTTTGTATGACATAGGTCTATACTTGTATAGAATTTTAGACGCAAGTACATTCTGTGACTGGCTATGAATGGTTCTTGAACCATTAGAATAGTATCGTGATACTTGATCTAACAACCATTTTTATTTAGGAAAACAAACTTTTTATTTATTTCTGAAGTACATAACACGTTTTTACATCTACGGCCTAAAGACGCATATTCAATAACAATTCATAGGTATTTCGTCAGAACGACTTTTTAAACTTTCAAAAGTGAGTTTTTATTTATTGATAAACGTTTTAACGTGTTAGATTTTCATTCATTTTTGCCTAGGGTACTTTGTTTCCATATCAAATATATACAAATATCTACATGCGCTGACATCAAAAACGATTGAAAGGTTCAAGGAGTTCTAAGACGATTTAGATAGACTAAAATACTTCCAACATTTATAAATAACAGTGATGTATAGACATCATACTCCTTATCAAAAAAATATTATTCATACTCGCGTGATTATTCTTGATTTGCGGCCAACGTTTTAGCATTTATTTAAACAAAGATTGAACAATATAAAATTGCAACTTTACATTTAATCATTTTATGCATAAATTATATACTTCAATAAACTGATATTTGAAAACGTTGCTTTTTGATACATCTTACTCGATTGTGAGCGTGAAATGTCTAGCTGGATGTACAATACTGCATGTTTTTAGGAGTAAGACATCAAAATAGGGTTCATGTTTAACAACAGATGAAATCTAATATCAAAATAGTTGTTTTATTTATGAACCTACCACAATCATACAGACGTCTTCCACGGACTCAGGGAAGAGCATCTTGATACCTAAAACACAAGTTTTCTTATGTTTCCATCCATTACATTGCTATACCTAAACTTTATCGGGCCTACCTGATGTTAGTAGCTATGTGTTAAGGTATAATGAAATGTGTAGCTCTACAATCTACACACTCTAAGCTTCATTATGATGTGCTATCATCCTATAATTTTATTTTGTAAAAGGCCTTAAATGACCACAATCACTTTTAATATAATAGATAGATAAAGAGTGTCTTTGGATCTTTTAAATCGCCCTGTTTAGATTAACTTAAGGCTACATTAGGTGTCCTAAAAGAAACTAAATAAACGGTATCAGCAATCTGACATATACTTTCTCCCATTAGCTTGACAACAACCTTTATCATGGGTAGCGATGAGAGTAACTATGATATTTAATAGGTAAAGTCACAAAAGTTTCATTAACTTTTGAACAGCAATTTTAACAGGAATGAAGGGATGCACTGTTTTGTTTAGAATTATAAGGACCATAACAGAAGAACTTTTATCGGAATCTGTCATAGAGACAACTCTATTGTAGTATTAAGTGTATTAAATAGTGATATAAATAAAAAGCCGTATTTGCTCATATGATTTAAATTGTATGCTGTAGGGAGTGGGCTTTGAAAGATATACGAGAAATGAGTGGGAGAAGAAAGTAAGGATGGTAAGAAAAAATTATTGTTAATAAAATTGTCATAGGAGGGTCAGCTTTAGGTTGTCAGAGTAGTGGATTTGGGCGGGGGGGGGAGGGTGGTGGTGGAATTAACTGTACCTGTAAAATGAGGTAAGTCAGCAATTTTTACCTTAATTGTATTAGTTTAGTGCCAACAGTCTTGTCAACAAACTCGGCATACTCTGAACTCAACACATAAACGCTTTTTAAAAACAGTATTTGTCCCGCATCATGCAATTAAAAATTAGCTTGATACTCGAAAAAAATGTTTGTTTGAAAAATATGAATTCCTCTTTGTAGAATGGTTATACTAATCTTTCGAGGGACACTTTTTATTATTACAGTAAAGTAGGAATAATTTTCAAACATCGTTTTAAAGTTTACAGGGTTGTCTCCAAAATAAATGTCAAACTGTTAAAAACTAAATTTAAAGTTTTCATGGGCGTGACATATGGTGTTTGTTTTCAAAACTACCGTAAGAATGTATTTTAATTAGTTGACTAAACACACTTCAAAGTTCTTTAAATGGTTTTGTGGGGTTATACTTAATACATCCAAAAACAACACTATCTATGTGCATTTATGTGTTTTGTCCTTTGGACTTGTGAAAATAATTAGTTACAACTGATATATCTTTAGCCATTAAGAATAAGTAAGGAGGAAATTTCTTTGATATACCATAATATCGTACTGTATTTGTAATATATTTTTGGGTTACCACTTGAATACACGTAATAAAATGTATATTGTAAATTTATTCTGTAGATATTTTCTTATGCAAATATATTAGGCTAGTTTAGTTTTAGTGACTTGAGATAGTATAAAAAAACGTTCATATTGAAACTGGCTTTTAAATAAAGGTCTTATTTATTTATTTATTTACTAAAGAAATATTTAAACCAAACCCATTCTTTCTCGCAAAATCCTGATTTTACTTAATTAATTCCACCTTGAAAACACATATTAGTCTATTAAAAAAATTCCAAACACGTGAACCTACTTGGATGAGTCCAGTTCAAGTTCGCGGTCACAGGAAAAGATCGGTGAAACTATTGTGCAACCTTGTACAACTCCGTGAGTAGACGCCGGTACAGTTGCGGTCTTGAGGTTTGAATGAATCGGACCGGCTCAATTCCAATGCCCGTGGTGGAGGGGATATAAGAATACCCAGCATGAATCAGCTGTGGTGCAACTGTGATGTGACGTCATAGTGACGTAGAGCCTCGGCATATAGCGCATCGATGGGTATAGCCTATATCGATGATAGAGCGTTTGAGCACTGCATTCTGTAACAGCTGTAGTTGATTTTATGCAGAAAATTTATGTGCATAGAGTAATGTAGTGTTACACTGTGATTAAAGGATGTTTTAGAAAGGTCTAGTTATTGTGCTAAACTGTTAATATTTTCTTCTGTGCAATATGACCCAAGCTGTCATGGTTATTGTAATACTGGATAAGAAACGTTAAGTAACAAAGTAAATCAGTAATTGACAATAGCACAATGTGTCGGAGGTCTAATTCAACTACGATCATTTATTCTAAAACGTATGTCTTCTACACTGTATTATATTTATAGCAACATTTTCAACTGACAACATGCCTTTTGCAATATACAGGGGGTTAAAAAAAGATAGGGATATAACTCAAGTCAAAATTGGATCAAAATAAAGAGAAAAATCTTGAATAACACTTTTCCCAAAATCACTTTGTTAACCAGATATCCGCCATTTTGTATCTTTTACATAAACATTTTCATCTTTTAACCGATCTTTATGAAACTTGGTTTGTGTGTTAAAGTAGAAGAGAACCATGTTATAAAAAAAATATATCTTGAATCGACTTAAAATTTCAAAATAACGGTCATTGAAACTTTTCAAACCATAATTACTAAAGTATGGCTGGTTTTATGAAACAATTTAGGAACACTTTCATATAGCATTTTAAGTTCCCTATCAAACAACACCAAGTTCAAAAAGTTCAATAGTTTTAGTTGGAAAATGATGCAAACCTGGCTAGCTTAGCCTTATTCTACTCCATTTTACAACTAAAAATCATAATATTTCAGGTATTTTCTAATCGATCTTTTTGAACTTTGTGTCGTTCGATAGAAAACTAAAAATCTATATCTATAAATTCTAAATAAAAGTGTTTTTGACATTTTTTCATAAAACCAGTAATATTTTAGTATTTAAAGTTTTAACAATTAAAATAGCCACCCTTTTTTAATATTAGGTTGAATCAAGATAACTTTTTTCCAACATGGGCCTCTTCTACCTTAACACACATACCAATTTTTCATAAAGACCGGTGGAAAATTTCCAAAGATAACGGTTTTCAGTAATATTAACAAAATGGTGGAAATCTGGTTAGCAAAGTGATTTTGGGAAAGTGTTATTGATTTTCTCATCTATTTTCATCCAAAGAATCACTACGTAGTGTTATCAATAAGTGACCCGTTATCTTTATCATGTTTCTAGACCTTGACCAATATCTCTTCTCCACTTAAAAGTCTTACTAGCAATGGAGTAAAAGCATGAATAGAACATTAAGTATCATCCAAAGAAATACTTAATTAGATGCATAAATTTCTTGTTTTAATTTTATATGTTGTTAACATTTTTCTTAGGCTTTCGTAAAACATTAGTCTATTTTTGTCGTTAAACATAATTATCTATATACTAAGCTTTTGTGTGGATCTCACATTCCCGACATTAAGGCTATGATAGATGTGCCGCTAAATTAATGTGAGGGTACATCATACCGAAAATTAAAAGAACCAAATTTTCTTAAACCGTGTCCTATCCTATTGGAAAACGCAAAGCCAAGTATAACTGCCGTACGAAGGACGGGTACTCTGCTAGTTTTTTATAATAGATAACTTTTTGCGAATTTCCCATTTTATATATAGGGTTTTTGCAGGGAAGTATCCCGAATTTTGAAGGTACATAAAAGACAACCTAAAATTGTATAACCAAATTTTATATTGGGATTACAAGGTTACATCTGGGAGTTTATTTTAAATGGCTTTACTTGGTTTTAAACAGCACATCCTGCAAGGGTCAAATCAAATCAAAATCAAAATATACTTTATTTCCAAAAATATTCAACAGAATAAAATATAAACATAAACTTCCAGTGAAACAGACACCTTACTAGCTATTGCATGAATAAAATAAATACTGTAATTATAAAAATACATGTAAACTTAATAATAATAATAACAAATGATGGAGGTTTCAGAGAAAGCTATGTTAATATAGTCATTTAGGAAATAAGCCTACATGGGCTGGAAGCCTGTGCGTAGGCTCAGTCGCTATCAGTGAATTACGTATTTGTTGGAAAACAATAATATTCATAAATATTTAGAAAATCTTAAAAAATACAAGTAATTTAATATAATTGTAAAGTACCGTCAACTATTCTGAGGCTAAATTAGTGTAATGAGTAATTTGAGGAATGAGGCAAGGCGGTGGGCATAGACATACTATAGTTAAGAATGTTCGATGTTAGTAATTCAGTAATAATTACGAGAGAATAAAGTAGGGTCAAGTCTGCCTGTACTCTGCTTTGATTAGGAGTTCTGATTCATCTGCACCCCACTCTATAAGACAGCCAGTGATGTATTTTTTGAAAATAGTAATCGATGGAGAATGAAATAAATGATAAAAATTACAACGGGAGATAACATTACGATATAAAACTTCAGAAATGTAAGAGGAATTTGTTAATGAGTAAGACTTGGCTAAATGGGAGGTAGTTATTCCGACATTCTGTGCATATCGGGTATTATAAGAATGTGATGTTTGGTTAAAAATAGAATCGAAGTTCTTGAAAACATGAATTGAAAGAAATTTAATAAATAACTGTCTTACACTGAGTAAGGATAATTCACGAAATAATGTGTTAGTGGGGTATCGAATTGGCTTATTGAAACAAACTTTGAGTAATAACTTCTGAAGGACAAAGAGAGGTTCTAAAACAGTGGGAAAAGCTCCGCCCCATACGTTAATGCCAAATGAAAGTAACGACTGGACATAGGCGTAATATGCTAGGGTGTTCCCTCATTGTCAATACCCTGCTGTAATCTGGTTCTGGAGTTCATTATAACTCTGTGAAGCATTTGTTGTGGAATGCGGCCATCTTCAAGGTGAATTGCATCTTGAAAGGCATGTAGGCATCTCGTGAACTACCCTAGGCTTAACATAACTTCAATAGAGCATATGTCGCTTATTTACCGCTTCAGAAACATTGAAGTGTGTCTCGTCACTAAAAATAAACGAGCATCATGAGGCAGGCCGGCATTCGTTGTTGCCAGTCCCGTGGTATGAGTTCATGAGCAAACTACCATTTTGTATAGATGGAGGTGTAGGCCCTCATATCATGGAGAATACGAGGCACAATACGATTAAGACAACGCCCGTGCGGATACATGCTTACAAGCAGAATGTTGAGAAGACTGAAAAATCGATCTTATGACAAATTCAATGTTTTCTGGGTGTTCAGACAGTTTTTTAGTCTCAAAACATCCTTTGCAATACACCACCACATACATGGAAGTCCTTCGACGACACCAAAATGTAACAGCTTTGCGGCAGGCCATCCGATAACAAGTTTGCAGCGCACGCTGCACAGCAACAATTGTCTGATATTTGGGAAAATACCTCTTGACTGTAAAAGCACATTTCTCACTCGACCAAGCCATGCCTACTACTGACAGTGATATTAGTAGAAAATACCAAAGCAACAGCGTCATTTGAGCCCCACTCCTCCAGCACATCCCCACTACTCACATTGACATCTTAAAAGGGGATACTTCCCTGCCCCAACCTGTGGATCAGTAACTCGTGTTGTATATGCAACATGTTAATGTGTAACATAAAATAACATGATATACATACATTACATACAGAGTTCCCTATACGTCTGGGGGCAGCATTTAATTTTTTACCATTGTATCTGTTTGTTAATAAAAGGAATGTTGCCAATTTATGTTGCCACGGATTATTGGAATTTAAAGGTATAAGATACTGTTTGCTGGAGTCGGTTTTCGGTAAATGTTGAATGAGTACGAATGTTTTTATGTTGAAATTTTGATAACTGGAACGTTTATGTGTGAGTTTCGTATTTCACTAATAATATTTTTTGTATTATATTTTTATTTTGTTGAGAATTTAATTTGTGTGGAGATTGAATTTATGTATTGGTGTACATTTTCTTCTTATGTTAAAGAATGTTATCAACATATTATCGGTGCCAATATATTAATTTACCTACTACCGTTTTTTTTTTTTTTTTTTTTTAAGTAGAGGTTTCAGTTCAGTTCTTAGAATTGAAAAGCTTCGCATAACAGCAAAGTTTACTTTCATAACAGCATAGTTTTACCCATAACAACACGGTTAACGGACAAATGAGGTTCAAGGATTGAGAGAGAAGAAGTAAAATTGTAATGATTCGAACTTCAACTACTCAGCTGTTCAGGCCAATTTAATTGTTGAGTGGTGCAATTTGTGTTTGGTACGATGTTTCGTTGCATCACTGTCAGTGACAATGAGAGGTTATAAACGAAAACATAGCCTCTCTTAGAAGTTATGAGAAGTGATTTTTACTAGGTAGCGTTCGCAGAGGCATCCACAAAATTGAGCGGAGTCATCAAGGGTTCATATTATATTGTTTTTGTTATACTGCAGTAAAAACATTCGTTTTTAATGCAAGCGTTGCGGGTGTAAAGTAGCATTTTTACTCTTTAGGGAGTAAAAATCGTTTTTAGCCTCTGTCGAGTAAAAATCAACTGTTGTCAACTCAGTTGTAAATTTTGATTGTAAACGATTGCATGTATCGAAAATATCTATAGATCCGTGCTTCGTAATAATTTTAACCTACAGTATACAGTCTCTTCCTGTAGCATTTTAGCATTGCAGATACATTAATCCATTCCCACACTCAACACTGCTCACCTTAACTACTTCCTTCACCACACCCTACGTCGTGGACCGCCTGTTTCCCTCTCTTCCCATAGCATTTTAGGATTGCAGATACAAAGACAGTTCCCACTTTCTGCACTGCTAGCCTTACTACTTCCTCCACCATTTCCTACGTCAT